CAATCATTCTCCAGTATTTTAGTTCACAAGGAATCCCAGCTATTCACTGAGCCCAACTGATGGTGAGGGCAAACAGGTGTTGTACCTCCTTCCTCTTCTTCAGGGAACATCAGTTATATGAATAGCATTACGTCCCCTTTCAGTCGATACACATAGTAAACCACATATGGTATGGGACATATATACGCGTTATCAAAACCTGACATAAAACCCAGCACCCGAGTAAAGTGCAGATGCAGAAAGAACAGAGAGAGCCACCAAAGGGGCTGTCACTTCTAATCAGGTGAACTGAACAAAAGTGCTCGTTGATGAACTGGCCGCAGTAAAGATAACATTTACAGAAACCTCTCTAAATATGGCCCATGAAGCTGTCACAGCACTGGTTGAATGGAACCTGACGCCCTGAGGTGGAAGGAGGCTCTTGCTGCTGTAAACTGGAGATATGCCCTCCATAATCCAATGTGACAGGCTCTGCCTTGACAGGGCTTTAGCCCAGACTGGGTTGGCCAACCATATGAAAAACTGGTCACATAAATGCACACTCCACATACAGTTGATGCAGTCATGCAATGAGCACACTGAACACAAGGAATGTTACCTCCTCAGTTACTTTGCCCAGTTACAAACAGGGACATGGACCGACAGGTTTTCCTCCTCGGACTTGGTTGGGCAGGGTCTCTAATCTCAGAGAGAAGGTGGTCAGCAACAGTGACAGGGGCTTACCCCAACACCTCTCCAGAAACTGGACCTATCTTTACAGGGATGAGCACTGATCATAGTGACAGAACACACAAGCCCCACGCTCTATCAATGCCCTTCTGGTATGGACAATCCCCAGATAGACAGGACATGCATTGTACCGGTCGTTTTCGTTAAGCAAAAAGCCGAAGCCCTGAGGAGAGCAGTAAATGGATGAATTCTGCTTTGGATTTTTCAGTTTGGCTCAAATAGCAGCATGTTAGCCTGATCCTTTTCTTGGAGGCCAAAGAAGAAACCAGAGAATTTGTTATTGCAAAATTGTGTTATTTATTCGATTCACAAGTAAAGTATGGAAGCACTGGGCTCACCGTGAGAGAGATCAAGCAGGAACACAGACACAAAGGTGATTATTACCAAATATAATAAATATAAAGTTTATGGGAAAATGGGTCTGACATCCGGTAAAGTTTTTACCAGAAAGCTTTAAGCTGTCACATAGTTTGGAAATGAGCTTTCCATGGTTTCACATTGAAATTGCTGTGACAAGTATTCAAGTCAACAGGGAGAGCTAAGTCACAGAGCCATTTAGGGTCACTTAATTGTGTTACATCTGGCCCTATTGGCTCCATCAACTCTCTTATTTCTTTCCTTAGGTTAAAAAAATGGTAAAAAACCTGATGGCAGTTAATTATATGACCAAAATCTGTCTCTGATTGCTCCAAAAAGGTCTTGAATTGGTGGCATTTCGGTTAATTTCCTCTGGACTTCAGGATATTAACTTTCTTCATAAAAATGTCCATTCACATGTCTCATTTCAAGCGTTTGAGCTTCTTGGTCCATTATAAAGTTATATTTGATTAGTTTCTCATCTCTGCTGTGGGACACTTTGTCAGAGAGCAGTGACACGGCCCATGTGTCTTTCTATGGACCATTGCCAACGCTCCATCTGTTTTGACACTAACCATGGGATGGCAGCTTTGCATTGCATGCATCGAGACTGCAACACACAGCATCACAAATTTAGACCCCCATGTCCGGCCAGTGATACTCCCAAAGCTTTGCAGCTCCACGGCTATTTCAAAGTTTTTCATGACTGCTCATATGAAAATCAGCAATTGCACTGTATCCGAAATGTCCCTGCTTTCATCATGTAATTTAAAAGGCTGCTTGTCCCAGGTCCTCCACAAGTTGTCCCAGTTGCTCTCTGACATTGTTGGCCAGATGTTCAATTCGTCGTGTCATGGTGTCTTTTGACACCAGTGAAATTTTCATAGGTTTTATGATTGCTATTATAATGGTGTTTTATTTTGTAATCCTTTAGCATTGCATGAACCTGCTGGCAGCTCAGTGACATGACTTCATCTAACCCATGAGGTATGACAAAAATGTGTTTGTCCACTTATCTTTGAACCACCTTTTCTCCTCCCCAACACAACACTTTTGTCTCGAGGGGCTGTCCTGGCTCCCGCTCCATCTTCACAGCTGCGGTTGCGGTTACCATTTCTTCTCTTCACTGAGGCAGGGTGAAGTGGGAAACATCGTCAGCACCAAAGTGGTGACAAAAAACATTACACCGTGGACTTCTGGGAGTAGGGTAAAGTAAGGTCCACATCTGTAATTACCACTTATCCCCATAGGTGCTGCTAAAGACCACGAAATGATTTTTTTTTTTCAAAGCAAAGTATAGTTGGATTAAGTGATCTATTCTAATTCATTACGGGCAACAAAAAATTATTCGGCTTGCCGCCATTGGCCCACAGACTGCACTTTGAGAACCTATGCCCTAAAAGTTCAAACAACATTAGCAGCTAAAGTGAAAAATGCTCTGAAATATTCTTATTAAGTGCAAGTACTATTGCTTTGATTAATCTTTCCATCCATCCATCCAACCATTATCAATACAGCTTATTCCCTGATGGGGTCGCGGGGGGAACTGGAGCCTATCCCAGTGGTCAACGGGCGAGAGGCAGGGTACACCCTGGACAGTGATTAATCTTTCCTTAAGTACAAAAATAAGTTCAAGGTACTTAGTTACTTTCAACAACTTGATTAATGTCACTCCTACAAAGTATAAGAAGACCAGTCCAACACAAGATGTTTTAATTACAGAAACATATGTATAATTTTAAGTGCAATAATAATATGTCCAAAAATATTTATGAACTTTGAAGAGTTCATAAATGAAGAGGTGTGTGCGAACTCTTTTCAGACAGCCCCACCGAACGGTTTTCAAACACAAAATTATTAAATTCTTCGGCCAATGTTTTTCTGCATCAACAAGAACATCTAGATTGCAAATCCACCCAGAACAACTGAACAACCCTGCTCTTTTCTCCTTCTATAGGAAAAAAAAAACATCTATCTTGGTCACAAGCAGGTTTACTAACCATACTTACTGGTATTGTGAAAGGCACTTTCTTTACTTAATTGGTGGTAGAAAGTTTTCATAAAATATTATTTTTTAAAAATTGTTCAAGGTACACATCCAAAGGCACAAATGCTCTACTTACAGCCACAGGCTTTTGCAGATTTGATGTGGAAGTTTTAAAAGCAGAAAGTTCTTTCTGTTAGGACAGGAATAGCAAACACTTTATAATAAAGCTTATGTCTATTTAAAGTTTAAAGGCAAAAGGTTCTCAATGTTGCCAAAGGTTGTCCTAACAGTCGTTCCTTTCAATGAAATAAGAGTTTAATGCTTCTGCTTGGTGGCAGCTCACATCACTGACACCGGCCTCCTCTTTCTCTATTGCATGGATGATTAAGGCCAACTTGCATCCATGAAGTCTAAATGATATAAAGAGCTTGCAACAAAAAAAAACAGTTATATGTGAAATCTATTCCATCCAATCTTTTATTCAGTACCAGTAGCGAAGTAACATTTCTTAGGTCAAGACGTATTTGAGTAAAAGTTAAAGTTACTTAAACAATTACAAAGTACACATACAAATATTCAATGACAGTAATGTGAATAGCCTAAATGTGATTTGATACTTTCCACCTCTAAATAACAGTGCTAATGACCTTTCTAAAAGAATACTTAAAAAATGACAAAATGCACAAAAAACTACTCAAATTACAGTAATATGAGTAGGCTAAATATAATTAGTTAACTTCAACCCCTAAATAACAGCAGTAATTACCTTTTAAACTGACATTGGTTAGTTTTACCCCAGAAACTGACTTAAAATCCACTTTCAACATTTAATAAGAGCATATGTAAGCAACTTAATGGCAAAACGCTCATTCAGCTTTGTGTTACTGGGATATTTACGGTCTCTGTCTCAGATGTTTAACTGTGTGAACAGGCTGCGCAAACAGCTGGTAAACACTCAGTTGAGGTAAGGTGAGAAGATACCCTTGGTGCTGCTGACTTGCAGGATAGATGCTTACCCAGAACGGCTTCAGCCAAACTCCGCCTGTTAACGCCTCTGGACGGCTCCCATAACAAGTATTCGAGACCCTGGGCTAGTATATCTGTAAAGCATCTCCTGGATCTGTCCTGCTTTGAGGGAGATTACAGGGTAAGCAGCTCTGTCATATGTTTTTAAACTGTTGCCTTAGAAAATTAACACTGCATTTGAATTTTATCTGTACATAATGTATTGAATACTTCTTGTATATGATTTATGTTTACATTTTGGTTTACGAGTTTCAATTGGCTTTAATGTGCAAGATGTGTAAGATGTTCTACTGCATCAATGTGAAAAATGTGATACTCTGTGATCCTGCAGATGTCTAATAGGATCATTGTTAAAAGAAGAGGCATAAGAAGATGTCAAGGAAGACATTTTGCGACTCATTCTCCCTCAGATGGTCTCAACGAAGGTGATACTCACAGTGTGAGGAATGACTCATCATCTGATAATGATGATCTAATTGTGCAGTCAATTGAAGAAAACAGTGACCATGGAATCCTATATTTGAATCCTAAAACACCAAATTGGTCTCTTGTGGAAAAGTTTGCTGAGCTTTCACCAGCAGGAGAATTAGAAATTAATAATGAGCAACATTACAACAGGGAGTTGTTGCAATGCACAAAATTTAATGAGACCAATGAAATGTATGACCCCAAAGAAGTGTTGCTGGATGCTTTACAACAGAGAGAAATGAGACAGATATACTCAAAAAGCCAAAGTGATATCCCCAACAGACGGAAAATATATAATTTCAAAGAACAAAATTTTAAGGAATATCGTCCAAACGAACAAGGGAATACTACGAAACAGAAAAATGTAAAAAGTCCTGGAAAGAAATCATCTAAAAAGTTTGAAGATGATAAAATCCCCCGACTTCTGGTTGCAATGAAAAAAAGGAGCATAGGTGACACAAAGGACCGCCCTTTCAAATGCACGCACTGCCACTGGGCTTTCAAGAAGCTGTGCAATTTGCAGAGTCACTTACAAACGCATACTGGCCTCAAGCCATATGTATGTGATGTATGTGGTAAGGCATACTCTCATCAAGGCACTCTGCAGCAGCACAAACGTCTGCACACGGGTGAAAGGCCGTATCACTGCCCTTTCTGCGTCAAAACATACATCTGGTCTTCGGATTACCGCAAACATATCCGCACTCACACTGGTGAGAAGCCCTATATCTGTGAGAGTTGCGGCAAGGATTTCATCCGCTCCTCTGACCTGCGGAAGCATGAAAGGAACATGCACACCAACGATAAGCCTTTCCCATGCACGCACTGTGGCAAGACCTTCAACAAACCCCTCTCTCTGAAGCGTCATGAGCGTAAGCACCTGGGGGAGAGGCCCTTCTCCTGCTCTGACTGCGGAAAAGCATTCGCCCTGGCCAGCCGCATGGCAGAGCATCAGAAATCCCACAGAGGAGTACGTCCATATGCTTGCTCTGTGTGCTCCAAGTCTTTCACTAAATCCTCCAACTTGACTGAGCATGAGGCAATTCACACTGGAGTGCGGCCGTACAAGTGCCTAGAGTGCGGCATAGCATTTGCCTTGGCTTCACGCCTCGTTCGTCACCAGTTCATCCATAATAAACAGACGCCCCACAGCTGCACAGTCTGCAGCAAGAACTTCAGCCACATTGCACAATTGAAGCTGCATCAGGAGCAAACATGTGCCGGGAGGATATTTGTCTGTGTAGAGTGTGACAAATCTTTCCACTGTGCCACCAAACTTGCACAACATGTGTTGAAACACAATGACAAAAGTTAAAGAGCCTCTTTTAGGACAGGTATGGAATGGATCGTATGTTTCCTGTTGGAGCACAGGAAAAAGTACGACTGGTACCTGGGAAGAAGAAATGATCAAGAAGAACATATCTTGATCTTAATATTTATCTACACATATCTTATTTAGATTTGTAACAATGACCACAAATAAGTCAAACGTATAAGAAGCTCAATGTTGACATGTGTATTTATTATTATTGCATATCACAAGTTGTAATATAGACATCCTCTTTCACCAAGGTGCTTGCATTTGATATTTAAGACTTATGATTCTGCAATCCCAGATTTAGGGATGTAAAGAGGATTAAATAATTCCACTTTAGCATCACTGATATCGGCCAGTCGAGGAAAGCTTAGGTATTTAGTTTATATACAATATCAGGGGGCGGTGGTGAGGTGGATAACATTATGGCATCACAGCAAACAGGATTCTGGGTTTGAGTCCCGGGGGACCCAGGACCTTTCTGTGTTGAGTCTGTATGTTCTCCCTGTGTTTGCATGGGTTCTTTCCAGGTTCTCCGGCTTTCTCCAACCATCCAAAAACCTGCATAGGTGCATGTTAGGTTGATTGGACATTCCAAATTTCCCTTGGGAGTGAGTGTGAGTGTGAGTGTGCATGGCTGTTTGTCCTTGTGTGTCTCTGTGTGGCCCTGTAATGGACTGGCGGACCGTCTAGGGTGTACCCCGCCTCTTGCCATTGACCACTGGAATAGGCTACTGTCCCCCTTCGACCTCATTAGGGAATAAGCGGTTACGATAATGGGTGGATGGACAATACCAGGAGCACATGTTGTTTATCAACGGGCCTAACCTGTTTTCAGATGTATATGTGTTTTCTGTGGGCACACATCATACTTTCTCTGAAACCTAAGATATTGTTGTTTTAAGCTAGTTTTAACTATACATTTGATCTTATTTTACAGCCAAAAGTAAAACAGGAGGAAATAGTTTTCTTGCACAAAGTGGAAATCTTTAATTAAACGTTTTAAATCCAAAAGTTGATAATGAAGTTCATGTTTTTTTTAGTTCTTTTTTTTATTTCTGTTGGAATACCAATTCTGTAAAGTACTAGATATAATGTATGTTTGAAATGATGTCTTATTGTATCCTACATGCACTATGTATGTTTTTTAAGCAGCTACATTTCTATACATGTTGCATATTTGACTTTTTGACAGAACATGTAGGCTGTCCATCCTGCTGTGAAAGAATTTCAATAAAATATTTTGGTTCTCTGAAAGGTAAAAGAAAATAAATATCAGATCACAAAACTACACTATTATTAATGTAGAGGAGAGGAACATCAAAACAAGTCGAATGGACACTGACTTGAATATGAATAGTGCTTTTTTATTTGTATGTTGTTTGAAGTGGTCTTTAATTGATGTACGTATGATGAATGTATGTCTGCTGTGGTACATTACTGGCAGACAGAATGCAGTCACACAAACGATACTTGTCTGTGAGTGTTGAATTCCTAGTCGGTTTGCCCCTGACACACTTAACTACTGCAAACTAATCGTAAAACGAGACGGCACCTGCCTCACTCACTTAAGTTATATGCCCAGTTTTGAATCTTAGTTACTTCTTGTCAACATTTTATTGATTCAAAATGTGTCTAGAACAAGATTAATCTTGGTATGTCATTTATAAAGAAACTGCTTTAAAGAAAAATATTATTGATCAACTTATAATGAAAAAAAGTAATGTGCTAATACAGATAGAAAAAAAGGCAAATGCATAACGTATACATTACTTATAAGAGTGTTTTCAAATCCCCATATTGTTGGGCTTCTGTAAATAACTTCAGAATAGTGTCTGTCCTGCTCTGTTTGGAAAAGCACTGTAAAATAACTGTTGTTTTGATTTTGCCCTATATAGATAAAACTGAATTTAATCGGTACCATCAACCAAAACAGCTTCACAACTCGAGAGCACACAACTCCAAGCAAATTTATTAGTACATTTTCAATTTAATTAAAATTTCAGCAACTGTGCTTTTTTACATATACCAATAATAAAAGGCTCAAAAAACAAAATCTTGCAAAGTGTAGACACAATCTTGAATTTATTCCATACTCAATCAGTCATTAAATATGACAGGTCAGCAGGCCAAACATCTCTTGTATCCACTTGAAATTTCCCCACAGTCAGTTTTGAGGAAACACACCTCAGCTGTTTTGGTCACTGCAATATGAGTTGCGAGTATTTCTGTATCTAGTACGCAACATGACAGTTGGCAAAGTGCAGAGGTTCAAAAAGGACATCTCCAAAAAAGAAATGTAGGTCTTATTGAGAGGTGTGGATCACAACGTTGTCCCACAACAAATTGTTTAAAAGCTTTTGGTGCTTTGAACAACATCTATGTAATAATGTGAGGATATATTATACCTAAGTAAGTTTACTTGTGATGGAGGCAAGTTAAAACCCAAGTTGCTTTCCTGTAACAAATTTTCAAAATTAAACAAATTAATGACAGCCAAGCCACAGCAATCTTTGCTGAAAAGGTCAAACTGGATACTGTGGCCACCAGTACATGTGATAATGGCACTTAGATAGAGGAGACAGATCCAGAGGGATCAGTAACCTCAAGTGACAAAAGAAAAATGTGTAAGTAGGCAATATGTTTTTAACTTCTATAAATAGCAGTTATAGCTTTAAGCGATAACTGACTGTCATATTTTGTACTTAGCAACATGACTCACCAGCATTCTTAAAAAAATATTTATCCCAGCAGTGCCAAGCTTGGATGGCAGCATGCCAAGGAGGGTTGAAGTATATTTACATTTATACATTTATATATTTGATGCTTTTATCCAAAGCGAAGAGGGTTTAACATTGAACTACAACACCAGTTACACACTTACCTTACCTTGAGTGCAATATGCTAGAAGAGGATTTAATATCAAGGATATGACATTCAACTATAACATAGATTACACAAATAGAATACATTGAGTGCTATATGCTATAAGAACCACGTGCATTTAGAGCTTTCAGGACAAGAGATACTCTCAGAAGAGTTGGGTCTTCGAGGATTTCTTGAGAGATGAAAGAGAATCTGATGCTCTGATAGTGCTTGTAAGGTCATTCCACCAGCGTGGAACCGCAGATGAGAAGTGTCGGATTGACCTGTACGGGGCATTGGCCGTGTTAGTTGGCTCTCCATGGAGGAATGGAGTGGGCCAGCGGTTACATAACACTTTAAGAGGGTGTTGAGGTAGATGGGCGCAGATCAATCAAACAGTCTGTAGGTCAGCATGATTGGAACAGATGGTGGTGGTGGATTTAGGCCTGCAGTGTGTTATAGCTCCTGTACATAATTTATTATTTAGGATTTTTATTTCTATTATAAATATATATTGTACATATTGTATTGTAGGTTGAGTATTTTATAAAACTAAAGCACTGTCTGCACCGATTTGAACCAAACACAGAACCATCCTGTCTTTATCCTCCGCAGCCACAGCTGCAACAGCTATATCACATGTTAAATTATTCTAAGCCCTAAGGGTTTGTAATAGCCCATCTAATTCGGAGGCTCAGTGTCCCCCTTGCAAACGATCGACGCTTGAGGAATAATGACCTGTCTTTCCTTTTTTTGGCCTGATGTCGGCCTCAGATATCAGTATAATAAGTTTAATGCAGTATTCAAAGATAAATGAAACACAATTATTCTTACATGATTCAAACATTAAAGTATTATGTTGGCATTATGTTGGTATTATTTTAAGAGAAGAGAACAAAAGCACCAAAAAAACATTTCTCACTATTGTTCCTCCAGGAGACTACCCTACCTTAGGAGGGATAGTAGATTAATTCATCACAGACATGCTGACCTTCCACAAGCCACCTAATCAGGACATAGACAGGTATAAATTGGGTATATCATTAGGTTCTTACCCTCAGATGAAGATGCTACATTACTGAAATGACAATGTGGCATGGCACCTTCATCAGCACTATTTTTGTTATGATAACTGAAAGATCTGGCTAACTGCCACTGTGGACACTGCATGCATAAGCAACCGTTGCTGGCACAGAGAGTGAATTGGCAGGTGGCCTAGACAGAGTAACAGAAAGAGAATCAGGGTCTGTTAGGACAAGGATTCAAATGTGAAGTTAAGTTCCCATCTGTATGTGTGACAGAATTTATCACAGCATATTTCTAAGAAATATAATGAAAATTACTATTTTAGCTTTCTTTTCATCTTAGATCTTAGATTTAGATCAATTGTTGGGATTCGTTGAAAAATTAAATCAATGACTGGAGAATCTGAAAAAATAATGTATTGAATTCCCAATTGGCCAGAAGTCAAGGCATGTTTATTAGTACTGTGTTATCTAACTAATTAATTCAATTACTATTTGGCTCTTAATTAAGATTGTTTTGTGTCATTACAATTAATTAATTAAATAATAAATTTATTTTTAACTGTAGAACTTACAATAGCATTAATCTACACACATAATCATATAATCAAGTCTATTTTTTTTTTTTTACAAATTAATTATTTCTTTGAAATTTTGTATGGATTTGATATATGTGAAATTCCTTAATAGATGGATTGAAAAGTATTTGTTCGCAATTGTTTTGTAATATCTGTAAAATTCAGTGGATAGCAGAATTAGTTGCTAAACATTCAAAAGGTTGCCTAGAGGGCAAAACATTTTCATTTAAAACACAATGAAAATATTATAATTAAAAATGTATTAAGTTTTTAAAAGGAGGATTAGTGAGCATGCACAACTTTTCAATGACAAAGGATAGAACTGCTATAGGATAAGATGACTGATAGTTGCCTTAACACTTACTGAGTGACAGTAAGTTGGAAGCATGGCTCACCTGTGGCTGCTGCCTACAAACACTAATCTCTCCACCTTCTGTGTAAACACCCCATGGGGACCGTGAGTTGTCAGATAACACAAATGAGTAGCATGTGTAAGGCCCCTGGAGGTTACAAAGAGAAAAGCAACACAAAACATCAGTTGGTCTATTTGCACATGACAACCTGTCAGTTAGTCAATCCATCTACCTATACCAAATGATCTTGCCATTTTAATGATTGCCTTCTGCTGTACACTCGGGTTTCCTGTCTCACTGGAGAGCATAACAGCCAGATGGGGCCTCCAGTCTCCCCATTTTTCATTTCCACAGCACAAGGCACAGAAAATCATTGTTAAAACTCTCACTGACTGCTGTAAGACTGGACTTTTACATCACAATTTAGCAATAGGATATAGATATATTATTTGGTAATTTCACCAGGGATTCTACAAGATAAAGGCTGAAAGAGAGTCTGAAGGGGATCGCTCGCTATAAAGTGGCCTGTAAATCTGCCAACAGGTTTGTCTCACTTCGCATTAGTTTTAGGATTCTAAAACAGAAACCATCCTATTTAAAGAGCATGTCTTCCACCAGTGGGAACAGAAGTGAAACACCACACTGATAGCTCAAATTCTGCCTGTCTTGTCAATCACAAATCTTAATTAGCCAGGCAATCTGCCACTCGTGTCCCAAGACATTCCCCCACTGACATGACATATGTTGCTTCAGACCATACTGCTGATTCGGAAATAGTCTGCAAAAATGGAGATGGGGTTACAGGATGAACAGTTCAAAGGAAATGGTGTTAAGATGCATGGATGTTTTTTCTCATCCTAGAAAGATTTCTTAACATATAAAAAGATATAAAGGTGATTTATCTTTTGACTGAAAGATGAGTCAATTTTGCACAGGTCAAACCGCCTGTTGTTTGCCTCACAGTTCCTTCAACAAATTCTATATCAGTTTTTTGTATTAGAGCAATTATTATTTTGATCTGAACACTGTAAAAAAGTCACAGCATGGTGCAGATACTCTTTACCATGTAGAGAACAGTTTCACAAGTGGATAATTGAATTTTTTAGTCCCTTATTTCTGGCTGTGGCTCTTTAAATTGCCTAGTGTTTCCGAGAAATAATAATTGGGGGTATGAAAAGTAACTTTTAATCAAGGCACTAAAAAATAACCATTGCTCATGGTTCTGCTACATGATAAATAAATCAATCACAAGTGACATGAATTTACCTCCTGGGAACCATGAATGTCTACAGTAAATTCCATTGCAGTAATCAAGTTAAGTCTGGACCAGTATAGCATTTTGACTAAAATAGAGTACACATTTGACTTCAGCTACAAAATATATTTAGAGTAATTTTTTAACAAATTACCACTTGCATATAGAGTCGTGTTCATGTTTCTTGCAGCTGTCATGTTTCAAATGACTTGACTCTTGTCACCTGTTCAGTGCAGTGGTATATGACCTTCTCCCTCTTTGCTGACCAGAAAAAGTCCATGTCCCATAAGATGTTGGTCATTGTTGATCTCAAGGCCTGTTCTCAAAGCCACAATCACAGTTGAACAATAACATGTACATTCAGCAATTCATATCTTATGTAGGGCATAACAACATTTTCATTGGAGGAATTCAAGTTCAATGAATGCAGTTAATTACAGGTTTACCTGATTATTTGGTGATTGCATTTAAAGGATCTTTATATTTGTCCTTTGCATCATATTAATAGAAATCTCATGGATATCATGTTTGAATATGTTATGAGGCACTATACACTACAACAGTACTGTGGTTTTATGGTGGAATTATGACTTGTTAAAACCTTTTGAAGAGTTAAGAGTTACTTGACTTCTTTCAGGCTATAGTAAATAACTTATGACCAATTTAAATTATTTCTGAACCATTAGACAGCAGAGGAAATAAATAAAATAAATATTAACAAAAACCATTAGAAATGTTTAGATTGTAGAAACCTTCTTTCTGCCAGTCAACAGTAGCTTGCTGGGCCTCTCAGAGCTGCCCAGATTCCCTGTGTGTAGGTCATCTCTTTTAGGAGGTGGCACACAGCTGTCATGTCCTCATTAAAGTCGTGACGGTGGGAACCTCTGACAACCAGTTTCCATCTGAATGTAAGCTCTCGATCAACAGCTCTGCAATATCCGACCCAACAATTTCCAAAAAGTGGATTAGAAAGTTGTGATAACTGACAATGTAATCAACGTGCTATTTGTTTATTTATTTTCCTTTTTTATAGAAATTTCCAGATAATGAATCTAAATTGTATGATACTAATGTCATTCTATATGCAAAGCAGTTTCAATGAATTCCACAAGGTGGTGGCAGAGCACTTTTGGAGCATGTTTTCATCTCTCATCATTGAGATGAAAGTACTTTGTTTTTTATGCTGAACAGAAAATTATAAAGCAGTACCTGAGATTTAAAAAAATTCTTCCTGTTCTTGTGCCTCTCTTAGAAAAACCTCTGCACACATAAAGACAGAAAAAATCTCTTGATCCCTTCATGAAAAAATACTGAAAAGTAAATAGTTCTGTTTCACATCAAAATAATGTCCTGAAATGTGTCTTCCTTATTATCTAAAATAAAGATAAGGTAATACAAAAGTCTACCAAATTTGTTATGTAAAACAAATGAAGGACGGTTAATGTAGGAATCACTGCCTCAGAAGGACATACAGTATACCATCTAATGCCTGTGAACTGAAGTGACCTCTCTGCCCACTTACACAAACAAAAATACAGACGTCATGCATCCTCCCCTGACACAGTGTCTTGTTGTTTGGGAATGTCTGCATCTGTGCGTATTTGTACTGAGTTTTTTATTTATTTTGTGTCTTTTTTTATTACTGCTGTCACCTGTAGGGGACTACACTAGTTCCCGGTTAATTTCAGAATAGAATTTACAATTCTCTTGTTCACATAAAAAGCTCAAAATGACCAAGCTCCTTCAAATCTTTAAGATCTTCATGCGGAACATTTTACTTAATTAGCATTTTGGTCTCAGAATGCACTGTTTACTTGTTATTCCTGGAGTTTCTAAATGTTGAAAAAGAGGCAATGCCTTCAGTTAGCAGGCCCCTCCTTTATGGAACCAAAAAATCACAGTCATTCTTGTTGCACCATTTCAGCATGGGTAGTGTTGCCAAGTGTCAACTGAGAAAATGTAAAACGCAAAAATGTTGAGTTTTTCTATGTTGCCAGTAACTGTGACGTGCAGAGGAATCTTGGCATTTGCATTAGTTTTTCTTCATATAGGGAGAAATGGGGGTGGCATGGTGGTGTGGTGGTTAGCACAGTCGCCTCACAGCAAGAAGGTTCTGGGTTTGAGTCCTTGTGGCTTCCTCCCACAGTCCAAAAACCTGCATGTTAGGTTGTTTCCAAATTGCCCTCAGGAGTGAATGTGAGTGTGCGTGGTTGTTTGTCCTTGTGTGTCTTGTGTGTGGCCCTGCGATGGACTGGTGGACTGTCCAGGGTAACCCCGCTGGAATAAGTGGTAACGATAATGGATGGATGGGACAAATGGAAACTAATTTAAAATGGTCAAAGGTATCACTTTTCACTCCAGCATTCACTGTTCCACAACATTTTTACTACAACTACAGGAAAAAGGAAAAGGGTCTAGATGTGACAATTTTATGAGGCACATAAATGGTTAACAAAGCTACCAAATCTGCTAGCCAAATCTTTTCGCAAACCCCTCAGTTGTAAAAAAGAAAAAAAATACTTTATGTATTTAGGTTTATTGATCAGTTAAAAGAAGTCATGGGGTACACCCTGGATGGGTCGCCATTCCATGACAAGGTCACACAAAAACTCACATTCACACCTAAGAGCAATTAAGAGTGTTCAATTAACCTGAAGCCAAAGTACCTGGAGGGAACCCATGCAGCCACGGGGAGAACATGAAAAACAGATAAACACGGAAAGGCTTCTGGTTCCACACCGTTTTTTTGTTCAACAAATTTCACATTTAACATCTTTTGTCATGGAGATCTAAGATGGTGTAAAAAAAAATATCATACCAGGAGCAAAAAAAAAACATTTTTGAGGCATTGTAAATGGCTAAAGTGGGTGACTCTAACCTGCATTGCTAGTGTTTATTCAAATCCCAGAAAAAGTATTTTGACGATTTCCTATTGTGGCCACGAAGTGTCGCCAGATTCTTAGTGGTCGCTGACAACAACTCAATGATGAGCTGTGTGGTTGCACGTGACCATTCAACAACCAATGGGATGACGGAACACGAATAAGTTCTGAGCTCGCAGGCTGTCTTACTACCGGAAACAAAGTTCGCGGATGGAAAATTGCGGGTCTGGCAGTGCGCAGACATTAGAATTATCTGTTGACATCAATTGCGAGTCTTCCAGTACACACAGGAACTTTTAAATTAACTGTTGACAACAAAAAGGACAGCAAACTGGCAGGATGTGCAATATGACTTTCGAAGACACCGGCGGAGATGACTCCACGGAAAGGTTAGCCGCTGTTTAGATTTGATATTATTTATGAAATTATGCACTTCCCTTTAAATGACATTTTTTTATCTAAATCAAATTTTCTGTCTGCCTGGCTTCAGTTATGTTGTGCGGATTAGCAGTTTTAATCGAATATATTCCTACTTTGTGATCGTGTCCTTGTTAAAATTGGAACATTACACATGCTGTTTTTGCTGTGTGAATGGGTTGTACGTAAACGTGTCTTCATAGCCTCTTTGGACACGTATTTAGAGCTTGTGCTTGAAGTAATAAACTTTTACCCTCGTTGTTTGTTTTTCTTGTAATGCGGGTTTCATCTTTTTTTTTCTGCTTCTTTTCCCCAGGATGGAATCCATGGCAAAAGCTTTGCAGGACATTCTGAGCTCTGCATTGCCTCAGGGTTGCATCACTGTCGGAGTCTATGAGGCAGCAAAGTCACTCAATGCGTAAGCTTTCAGCAAGCCCTCCAGTTCTTAGAGTTAAATCAGAGTTTTCTAACAGCCCTTTTCTTTGTTGACTCAAGGGATCCAGACAATGTAGTGTTGTGTCTGCTGGCCACAGATGATGAGGAGGATGTGGCTTTGCAGATTCACTTCACCTTGATCCAGGCGTTTTGCTGCGAAAATGACATCAACATCTTGCGTGTGGGCAACATGAGGCGCCTCGCAGAAATACTTGGTGGAGTGAAGCCTGGAGAAGACCCAATGGACATGCATTGTGTCCTACTTACAGTAAGTGTAATTTCTAAACTCAGCTGTTTTATAATATTCATTGCCCCAGTGGGTATTCAGTCAATCGTTCGTTTCTACTCACTGCCCATTCTCTGCCCATTTTAAGCTCTTAGAAGGCACAGCTGATCATCTTGGTGATACAGAATGATTAAATGTATTTTTAACTGCTTTGATCCATCTGCAGAACCCTCAGTCATGTCTTTCAAAGGATCCTGCACTGAGCAAAGTGAACCGATTCTGCAGGGACAGTCGTCATTTGAATCAGTGGGTTCCTGTTATCAATCTTCCTGATTGATTAAACTCTCTGGAGTATCAATATATTGTTTGCATTCAGGGGATAGTGACTGCTCAAGTGCCACTGTCTGTGTTGGACTGCTTTGGAGAGAAAAAAACCCTAGAGAGCAACAGGAGAATCTAGGGAGGAAATGAATGAAAACCACAACTAAGTCATGTGACCTGATAAGTGCACATGGAGGTGAGCACCGGAAGGAGGAAGCCTGGAGAAAAGTTGAATTGATTCCAAGAAGTGGACCATGCTGTGGTGGACAACTCTGCTCTCAGCTTCAAGAGATCTCTTTGAAAGTCTGACCAAATATAAACATTACCTTAACAGCACGTTAAAGTATATTTAAGACTTGTCACGTTGATAAGTGAAAATTCAAAGCCAAGGGAAAGTTTTCACAACTTTCTGTTAATAGCTTTATTTTATGGACAATGCCATGTTTTGTACTTACTTATGTTTTGCATTTATTGAGTAATATTTATTGTGCATAGTTTGCTGGATTTTGCATTGTTCAGTTGAATGAAAATAAAATGAAAAATAAAATAACAACAACAGATATTGTTTCCAGTCGCTACTAGCTTAGCCCAGTTATTCAATGCCATGTTTATGATTTACTTTGTGATGGGGTGTATAAGCTTAGGTTGTCGTCCCACAGCATTCGAATCTTGCCCCGGCACATCACTGGGTAGGGTAAAAGACAACTATCTACGCTGCAGCTTTCCTACCGAGGAAAAATAAATACACTATTTCGATATAATATAGCTATGCGACCCCCTGGGAATAACATGCCTAGGAACTCAGGAAGGATTGCTTATTTGCATATTTTGAGAGCTTGTGACTTAGATATAAGGGCAGTCTCATTGTTCAATATGATCTGAGCTAAATTTACAGCGGATTCAGTTAAGAATAGCAGAGAGAACAAAAAAAGAAACACAGTTCAGGACCCCTTTCATGCTTTGAAGGAAGAGACAACTAGAACTTATTGTTCCCTGTGCAGAAAAGGGAGGCACAAAGCTTTTAACACAGTGGGTCATGACACAATAGAAGCATGAGTCAGGGCTATTTAGGTCTCTGTTACTAGAGCTGTACAGTACTTCAGCTTAATGGTTAAAAATAGCTCCATGAGTGTGGTCAAAGGTGTTCTCTTTGACCACTGCCACATTGACAATGGCAGGATTTTCATTCAACAAGCTAATTATTCACATGGACTGACATGCTGCAGAGATACCAGTTTTCAACCAGAATATCAAGAAGATAGCAAGCCTGTTTGTTTTCCTGTCAAATCGAGAGCAGCTGATTGGGGGCTAAATTGAGCCCAAATTCAGAGCTGACAATGGTTGGAGGGTTTATGATGTTTTATTAAAACACCTTGCAAATGTAATAAATTGGGAACAGAAGCCAACAGACACATCAGAGTCTCTTTGTGGTTCATCTGGTTTAAACTTTTCAGCAATGCTTCACTTTTGAGTCCATGGAAGCTGCCAGCCAGCTTAAATGCAACAGTTTTCAATTTGAAAGAATAACATGCCAATTTTTTTTTTTTTTTTTATTAGAAAGTGGAACAATAACATCTATGATACCTCAGTAGTATGATCACAATATGACACAGACGATACGCAACTAAAATTAGGTGAGACCATGGATGGTAGCTTCTTTATCGCACGTCCAAAAAGAATGATCACTCTACTAGAAAGCAGAAAAAGTATTACATGAATGTGGGCCAGCAAAAATATCTTGACATGAGTGTAATATTACACCTGAACTGACAGAGGAAGGAGAAATAGCTGTGAACCAGCCAGAGATTATTACATAACAACCATCTTGTTAATAGAGACACATGAACACTTGCACAGGGAAATTTGAGAAAGCATGTATATTTGGCTTCTGTCTCAGTTGGCTCATTCACTTGTTTGAAAAAAGTGACCTCTGACTGACAAAAAACACTTTGTAAAAAAAAAAAAGATCAGTCACTCCAACTGCAGTTAAACCATTATTTTTGAGACAGAATGTCATGTTTAATGTATCCTATAAGCATACGCATTGAGCCTCAGGGAAAAAAAATGAATTTCGTGCCATACACAGTTCTGTCAATACACAGAAACAGTGCATAGTGATTCAAATTTTACCCAGCATTATTTAGGGTTAATGGAAGTCAATTGACATATTTTTATTATGATATATACTTTAGAACGTTTTTAAGTTTGTTTTAATTTAAAATAACAGGAAATAAATCAATAAATAATAACTGAAAATTGGCCATGCCCACCGACGCAGCCACCACCACCCTCAAGCCCACAGGCCGGCACCACAATGTTGTGAGCTAAGATGTAATTAAAATGGCAGGGGTGAATGAAAGGGTGAATCTACTGTATAGCTGACAAAGAGGTCCTCTACCTCAGAGCTTGCCATGTTTTCACACAAGTGTGAAATTTACAAACCTAATACTAAGCAGGTTTGCATGATAGAAGAGATGATAATTGTATTTGTCTGACCAAAACTGACTTAGAATGTGAAGTAATTGCAGTGGCCTTACAGCCCCTTACTAACTGGGTAACAGGGAAAATGGATGCAACACAAATACCAGATGTTCTTAGTAATGAAAAAAAGTAGTCAGCCCTCACGAAATAGAGGGAAAGTAGATCCCCACCACAGAATACGGCAGTGGCCATAACACCCCCCCACCCCCACCCCCCTTAATGTACAAACCAACTCGGTTTGTAACAAGCATAATTCACAATGAAACAAGATATACCCTGGACAGCGCATCAGCAACAATATTTTCAGACCCTTTTTAGTGTTTAATTTCCAAGGTGTAGTCCTGCATGCCCATTGCATAATTCTTTGGTTGTGGTTATACATGCGGTTCAGAAATAAAAGGGCATTGTGGTCATTGTAGACCACCACTGGCAGAGGACTGGAACCCACACACACTTGAAAATGCTGGAGTGACCACAGCAAAGTAAGTGCTTCCTTCTCTATAATTGAATACTTAACCTGATGTTTGTTAAACTTTTAGAGAAATAGCACACAGGATGATCTACTCCAGAGGGATCCACCTCTAGCTTAAATGGATGAGTGAAGTTAGGAGCGGTGAGGATGGGGGCATGACTTGGCAGTGCTTTAGCGCTGTAAAAGGCATGCTGACAAGTAGGAGACTAGACAAAGTCAACTTTTGGACTCATCAGGGATGTCAAAGGCTGAACTACTGAGGAAAAGTTACAACAGAAACCTCTGTAGTAACGGGCCATTACTAGAAAGCAGTGTAAACCTTCACTGGTTTTAGGAATGGGAAAGTCAACTATGGCAGATACTTTAGCAAAGATAGGTCCAACTTCGCCTCAGCCACCACGTTTTCTCAGATAGCTAACGGTGGTTTTACCAAAATCACACTTAGCAACATTCAGAGAGACACAGGCTAAACAAGAGAACACCTTTTTGAGGATGAGGAGATGCTCCTCCCATGTCATGGAGTACACAATTAGGTAATCTAAATAAGCAATACAATTAGATATTCCAGAAAGGACTGTGTTTACCAGCCTCTGAAAGGTCGCAGGGGGATTGCATATTCCAAAAGCCATGACTGTGTACTAGGCATGGCAAGATTCACCGATGCGTATCGGAATATCGGAACGACCTGTGCGATACGGTTGAATCGATTTGCAAACGTCTGCATCGGTAAAAACCGCACATAAACTCGAGATGCATCGTATCGAAACTACCTGCATCGATACAAACCGATTATTATCTTCTAGTATTATAACTTTTTAGAAACGTGTCTGAGTTTTAGTTGCGTTTCTTTACATCCCTGTTGCCTGCCTACTGCGTGCATGCTAGTCTCTCTGCCACTCAAGTCTCGCCCCAAGCCTCGCGCGAGTAGGACGGTCTAAACTCGCTTTCGAAGAGGACAGAGGCGGCAAGCTAGAAACCACGTTAGGATGGAGGAAAACAAAACAAAGATGATATATTCGGTTACGCGCTTTAGGTCAACGGTATGGAAAGACTTTGGATTCTACAAGCGAGATGGAGAGTTGGACAAGACAATGGCCATATGTAAACACTGCAGAACAGAGGTACGATATACAGGCAGCACAACAAATATGTCGCAACATCTGAAGCTAAGGATTACTATTACTATTATTAAGGATTACTTGTCCATTCCAGCAACTAGTGTGAGCTCTGAGCGTGTCTTTAGCAGTGCAGGGAATATTGTCACTGCCCAACGTAGTCTCCTGCACCCTGACCATGTTGATCAATTGATCTTTCTTAAAAAGAATTTGAAAAAGACCCATCTGGGTTAAATGTTGGGATTCACTTGTCTTAATTTCCATATGGGGAACTGTTACTCCCTTGTTATGATCATTTGTTCAGAATGATTAATCATTTTACAGAGGCACAGAGGTAATAAGTATACCCCTTTTGAAATGTAACATTTTGAACTATATTTCAATAAGTAGACATGTTATTTTCAAAATGTGCACTGAGTAAATGGAAAATAACATTTCAGTTAGATTATTAACCTTAGTTTGCTCTTCAGATATTGTATGCACATTTTGGACATACCATTTTTACCTATGCACATTTTGGAAATTACTTGTGTGCCTATTAGAATATTGTTCAAAATGTTGCTTTTCAAATGGGGTGTACATGTCAATGGTGTGCATTGTATATTTTGGGGAAAATGCAATGTGTCCCTGTGTTAAGTTTTTCTTTTAGTTTTTATAATAGAAGGAATATCCTGGCCTGCACCTTTTGTATAAGGGCATTTTATTTGTTTTACCTCATGTATAAACTTCAAGCACTTTTTTAAAGGCTTAACTGGAAAATGTGCCTTTGTGCCTTTGCTTTAATTGTTGGACAACATGCACTACACTACACTTACACTTGTAAGACAATCACTCTCTAAGTTGCACTTCCTTTGTTTAAAAATAAAAGGCACAGTTAGCTTGCGTGCCATAACTTGAACTATGTAGTCCATGGTGTACTTTTCTTCTGCATTGCATCGCATCGTATCGTATCGTATCGTATCGCACTGTATCGCAGCATTTTAAATTTAGATCGTTCTGTATCGCACCGGATCGCAGGAGGTTGGAGAATCGTATCGAATCTTATCTCTAGAAATTCCATGAATCGTAAATTTATCGAATCGTTGGCTGTGTATCGAGATGTGTATCGTATCGCCTTGGTGGTGAAGATTCCCATCCCTACTGTGTACTGTAGAAAACAGTCAGGAGTCACAAATACTGATATTTCTGATGGACATTCAGTTAAAGGGACTTGCCAGTACCCTTTTAGCCAATCTAATTTGTTCACAATTTTGGCAGCGCCTTCTTCGAAGGGGATACAAGTCTTTAATAGTTACTGATTTAACTTTACGAAAATCTGTAATAAAATGTGGGAAGTCATCTGATTTTGTTTCCATCAGGTAAGGAAAACTGCAAGAACTAGAGCTTGGTACAGCTAACACATGTTCTAATAGGCAATCAGTTTCTCTTTTCATCACATCAAGCTTCACTGGGTTTAGTAAGGATGCTGCCGGATGGGCTTAGCTTTTTGAACATCAATATCATGATGCAACACTTACTTATTGTAAAATAAGTCTTCAGCCTGTTTATGTGACAAACGCGCGTCTTGTGCCTTCTCTCTGGTGTAACAATAACATAATCAGTGTCACTGAGACATTCAGGAACCTCATAAGGACCAGTAAATTTAGCAGTAAGAGAAGAACCTGGGATAGGTAATATGGCTAATATCTTATCACCAACCTCGAAGTGGCGAGACATGGCAAAACGGTCATAATGACACTTCATCACCTTCTGGGAAGCCAGGAGACATTCATTAGCAAGTTAATTTGTATGGTGCAAACACTCACAGAACTTGCTTACAAAGTCAAGGACATTTTCCTTACTAGAGGTTTCTGAGGAGAGGAATCTCTCCTGTGGTGATTTAAGCGTACCTCGGAGTGTGTGTCCAAAAACAAGCTCTGCAAACTAAAGCCTAAGGATTCCTGGACGGCATCGCGAGCATCATATAATATGAATGGATATCCATCATCCCAAATCCTACTGGTTCCCAAGCAATATTTGCGTAGCATAGATTTTAACATCTGATGCACGCGTTTCAATGCTCCTTGTGACTCAGAACGAAAAGAACTGGACACAGGGTGGTTCAAATTTAAAGTCTTTAGGATTTGTTTGAAAAGTCTCACCTGGAAATTTGTGCCCTGGTCTTTATGGATTACACAGGAAAGGCCAAAGGTTGAAAAGAATTTTGTCAGAGCCTTGACAATAGAGCTAGATGTAATTTTTCATAGGGGCACAGCCTCCGGTTAATGGGTGGCAGTGCACATTATAGTGAATAAATATTGGTAGCCTGATTTAGAGCGGGGCAATGGACCTACACAG